CCCCTGGCTGTTGTGTGGTTTCTCTAGGCAAATTTACATCCAGTAGTTTGCCATTCCTCCTGGACGGTCGACCCTCTGATACCACTGTCGAACCAACGCAAGGCGCATGGCCCGCAGCTGGGATCGAACACGGCACCCCGGCATTACGAAGCGGTCACATCGACTTAGCCACAGAGCCGTCATAACAGGACATTATCTAAACTAATATGGATCAAAAAAATTTTTTTTTAAAAGAACTTTCATACATATTTTGGGTAGATTAGGGTGGATGAGCAAACTGAGCGAGGCGGCAGACCCCTCCCCCCCCCCTTCCTTCCTTTTCCCCTCCCCTTTTTTCTTTTACCTTTTTTCTTTTTTTTTTTTTGGAAAGAAAAAAGGCTGGGAGGGGAGGGACTCTCAAAATGCTTACACCCCAGGTTGGGCCCAGCTGTATAACTGTAACATTTAATTATAGCTGGGAGAAATCTAAAGTACAAAGACTGACATGTTAGCAAACACTTTAACTTTACTTGAAGTCATAAATTTACTTTTAATATACTTCGAAGTCATGAACTGCGATAACACAGTTGGTAGCAGTGGTTATAATTCGGAATTCCCTTTAAAGGCGTGGCGCCCCAATTTAGTTCCGGAGTCAAATGTCGGGGGAAAAGAGCATAGACAACTGCCAACCAACAAGCATATCTTAAAGTGCGACTAATTATGTGTTTTCTTTCAAAGTCGAAGTGCGTCTGCCTGAGAGGTGAGGAACTAACAGTCTACATCCAAAAAAGTCTGATCTGTAAAACGAATGTGCACGTAAAATACGCAGGTTCTGGAAAAGATTGAAACCGAGGAGGCAATAGATAAATAACCAGAACTTTCCCCAGGAGCTGCCTTGCAGCCGATGAATGCGAAGATCTGGCTAGACACACTCGCCATGGTGTGGGATTTACATGCCTGCTCATAGCAACATGAATCCATACACCGACATCTGAACTGAGTCCTTCACCGGAATATAAATAGCTCCAGGAGACCGTTGTCTGGACTATGAACGTGTCTGAAGCTCTGAGAAAATAACCCGGTTCTTTTCTTTTATTTAACCTCATAAGCTTTTGTTGAAACTTTATAGCACTGATCAGAGGTGCTGGGATGTTTTTCCCTGCCAAGCAGTCCCAGAGCTATTTTCGATAGAATCACACACTTTAATTCCTCATTTGTTCTCCCTAGACTCACGGACACGCCCTTTTCAAGAGCTCACTTAAGAAATCGCTGTGGAATAAACCCTCCCCAAGAAACGCCGCTGATTTTTAAACATACTGACGCATGAATGCAACAAACACAACAGTTTATTTCAGGTTGACCGTGCTATATTTACACACTTGTGAATTCCTGCTTCGTGCCGAGAATTGTATGGTCACAATGGCAAGATGTGCACTGGTTTATTTTTAGTATTCTTTACGGCTGAAAGAGGAAGGTTAATAATTGGAAAATTAATTTTTCAACAAAATAGCGAAATAACATACATTATAACAGTGTATGATCCTGCCTACTCTTAATACAGTTTACTGAATCAGGTGCCATAGGTCTGGCATGGGTGACGGTGTCTTTCTAGAATGGACGATATGTAGTATTCTATGGCTTTTCCGCCCCTTTCAGGTGGTAGGCAACGGTACACAGTAGCCGCACCTTTTCTTAGGTATTATTTATTTTCCGTACTATTACAATAGACACTTTGTAGTGAGTATAGGCATGTTTTATTTTTCAAGGACAGAAACAAGAAGTAAAAGACAGCCTTGAGTATTATCAATAGAACTGTTTGCAATAATAAAAAGGGATTTGCGCAGCTAAACATAAAAAAAGTTAGCGACTTCTCAGTAAATGGATGAGGTGGTGTATTTTTTAACAGGCTGCCTTTATTTCGGAGAGCATTTCCCGGTATCCATTTGGGGCGGGGTCGACTTGGTAAGTAAAGTTAAATTAAATCTACCTAGGTAGTCATTGCAACACCGGGCAGACAGGCAATTGTGCAAGCTATTACGTTACAGCGTCCTCCAACGTGCAATTTTATAGAACAGTGTTCATCTTTATATCTCCCGCTCAGGATAAAACGAATAAAAATTTTGCAAACCAGCTGACGGCGAAGACAGAAAACAAAACACGACTTACTGAGAGGGGTAATGGACAGACGAACTAGCGAAGTTTTGTCATTTGACGGCCGCATATACTTTCGGTGCAAAATTGTCGACGTGCAACGCCTCACTGTTCCGCTTTATATAGCACTAGAATCGTACTCTGGCTACAAGACTGGGCGAAACATTTCCCGGACCAATGCCAGTCTGTGGAAAGCAGGTTAAAGTGCATGGCAATAGATGAATGTAAAAATATTCTTAAGCAGTGACATTATGAAAATTCGAGAGACAAGTTAACTGGCAACAGACGGTGGGTCGTTTTAGTGGACCGTGATGTGAGCGACGTTCTGTACGACTTTTTATATAATCACGCGTACGACTACGACGAAAATAATAAAGATGACGTGGTCGAAGCAGCATTCGAAAATCGCACTTAACCTCCCTCACCTGGATCTACACACCTGGTCATGCGGGCGTTAAGGGAAATGAGAGAGCGGACCAACTGGCAAGCACTGCACTAAAGATTGCGGGAAGAAGCACGGATAGAGCAGATATCGTCAACGCTGTGCTGTACACACTGACCTAGTGGATAATGAGGAATCCCTGACACTAATACGATTGCGTGACATGGAAGAGATAGGAGACAATATAGCCTGCTTCTCATGGGAACAATTAGTAGAAGTACTTTGGAGTGGCTGCTGCATCGGGGGACTGAGCACGCATGGGAATGCCCAATGTGCAGTGACGTCGATTGTGATAACATAACATAACTTTGTGAATGTATGTGCTGAAGTAACAACTGACTAAATCATACGGGAAGTATCGAGAAAGCTATAACTGGATGGGTACTTCTGCAGGTAGCGTTTAATTAACAGTCGTGTTTGAGTGGGGTTAAAGTAACACGTTTCTAGAAAAGGAGTTCATCAAGGATCTTCAGGGACAATCTCCTTCTAGATCCCTGGGCAGACCTTCCATGGTGGTATTAGAAATATGCACGAAAGCACAACTGCTAGAGTGAACACAGCAACTACTACTACTACTGCTGCTGATGCTGCTTCTTTTTCTTTTCTTCTTCTTCTTCTTCTTCTTCTTCTTCTTCTTCTTCTTCTTCTTCTTCTTCTTCTTCTTCTTCTTCTTCTTCTTATTATTATTATTATTATTATTATTATTATTATTATTATTATTTTATTATTATTATTATTATTTTTATTATTTATTATTATTATTATTTTGTCGTCTCACTGGTACCGCATATTGTGGTTTTCTGTATTTGTCTTGCGCTTCTCGTGTGGCTTGAATGATGGAGTTGTTCATCCTTTTGCAGGTTTCAGCAACACAATTTATCTATCTGTTATTGGTCTCCCTCTCACCTTCCTCCCAGATGTTATACTGTAAAAAAGTCTCGTATGCAGTCTAGTCTGGCTGCATTCTCACTAGATGGCTAAACCATTTCATTCTGTGCCTTTGTGAACTTAACAGCTAGAATTATTTCAAAAGCCACGTTTGAACAGAGTTAAAGAAACACGTTTCTGGGACAAATGTTCAGCAAGAATTGTATGGGAATTTTTTTTCCGGCATGAGCGCCGACATGAAGAAAAAATCGGGGGGGGGGGGTGGTAGAGAAGCATTCCAGCGGCCTAAGCCTATAATTTATTGATAATAATAATAATTATAAATATAGCAATGTTCTGAATGGCAATTAAGCACAATTATATTTTCGAAAGAAATGCATCTTTAAACAAAACTTAAAAAGAGACGTTCTATACACGACAAGAGGTCAACATAACCCCTATACTGGGAGCCGTCGTGGTGTAGCGGCTAGGCGCTAGCCTGCGGATCTGAAAATCGTGGATTCGAATCCTGACGGAGCCGGACTCCCTAGTTGTTCATCCACTTCTGGACTGCAGTTCTGTTCCAGAGACTGGGTGTTGCAGTGTTGCTTTATGGGTTGGCAGTGAGTCTATTCTTGTTTTTTCTATAACAGGGCCCCGGAACCCACACGCGGAATATTTTTCAATGAATTTAATCACAAGTATTGTTCCAATTAGGAAAAACAAAAATCATAATCTGCACAGGTCATGGCAACAGCACTAACTAGATATACTTCCACAAACCCGCAGGCTCAAAGATCTCTCAACCCCCCGTCCCCCACTTGCAAAGACAGTAATGACAGTTGTTATACTGCGCTTATCAGGGTAAGACATAACTCCGAACGAAAAGTATTTCAGCGAGGTTCACAACATAACAAACAAACAAACAAACACACACACACACACACACACAAACGTGAACCTTGCGACTATGACGCCTTCTTCAGTATATACTACACAAATACACAATATCATCTCTCTTCATATCTCGAGGCAGCCAGGTCGATGTCTAGCCAAAAGTCCGCTAGTCAATAAAAAGACTACGGATTAAATAGCTTTTGTAATTTTTTCTTTTTTATTTGATTGTTTCTACTTTCGTTTACAGCCTTTCTTAAACATCTCAGCCCGAAACCCAACCCTAAATATTTTGGGGCGCCCAAAGTGTCCACGCCCCAGTTTAGGGCGCCACTAGATCCCGGGGGGCCTTCGGCCCGCCCACTGTGCTATAGGCAATCTGCGCTGGAACGACACTGTCTGACGTCATGCCCTGGGTTTTACGCCGGAAGTGCCTGGGACCAGGCGGATTCTCGCAGTGACGAGTCCAGCTTCGCATTTTCTCTCTAGCGATTATTATTTTGCCATTACTGTCTATTTCTTTGATTATTCTGTTCAACAGATAAGTATATTACCGTTCTAGTTATCACAGTAATTGTTTTCTTGGCTGTGTTGGAATGGTAGATTGATTTTATTCTCGGGGAGAAGAAGAATTGAGCCCAAGTGTTGCCTGACGTCAGCAACAGACATGGACCCGTCGTCTGCAGACAACAACGACAAACTTGTTGCCATTGAATCCTGGAAAAGCACTGCTCGCCCTAAACTGGCTCAACTTAGAGGTACCAAAATGACTGTGTCGGGAGAAGAGGATAGTCTGGTTACTGAATCTACGCAGAATTTGTTAGAGTTTGCCGTAGCAAAGGGACATACGCTTCATTCCGTCACCCACATGACAAACACACAGCTCGCAGACTTCCTCCGCGATTTCTACGGTAAGATAAAGCTGAAAAGTTCGGATTCCCTTACCTTGAAGGATTTACGAGCCGGTCTGCATAAGTTTTTCTTGGATGAAGTGAATATTGACATCCTTCATGACCGATGCTTTGATCTGGCTAACGATGCCTTTGATCTGGCACTGCGGGCGCATCGCAAGTGTCACAGAATGAGAATTGAAACCGACGATCTGAAAAAGATTTATCTAAGTAAAGCCATGGACACCGAGAAACCGGATTCCTTGCAGAATAAAGTCTTTTTCGATATTAGTCTGTACATCTGCAACAAAGGCAAGGAGTATTTTCGAAACATGAAGAAAAATGATTTCGATGTTTCCACCGATAGCCAGGGACGGCGCTATGTTTGGTTGAAAGACAGCACAGGGAGGAAAGAGGAAATGTCGCTGAAGATTAAGAAAAGTGTTGATGAAGATCCACCCGCTAATCAAGTTGGTGAAAGAATGTATGAACGGCCAGGTGAGTAAGGAATGAAGGCCCGTGTATGTACGTTTTCTCATTGTGAGTGTATGGTGATGAATAAATGCCTTTTTATGTTTTGTTATTGTATGATGAGTGATGAATGATTGCATGTTTATATATTGCTATGAATTGTGAGTGGTGAATGAATGCTCATATATCTATTGTTGTGAGTGGTGAAGAGTGATTGATACCTGTATATGTATTGTTACAATCAGATGTGTTGGGTCAAAAAAAGGTACAGATATCAAAGCCTATCTGTATACCACAACATTATGTGCCAACAACCCTTGTGACCATTTCTCCCAGAGAATGCTAAAAAAAAAATCTTCAGGAAAAAAAATTGGCTATCTTCCGAATAATGGTCACAATTATCGAGGCCAAAAATATACCCTAACAGGGCCTTAGTCAGATGTAAATTACGGACTTCCGGTGACTTAAATTGCGCACTTCCGGCGACTACCGCCACCGCCAAGAGTATCTCCCACACTGCTATGCGCGATTTGGATTGGGGCTGAACTAGATGGCTCGAACTCACGAGCAAAAGCTAATGAATCTCCTGCAGCTTTCTTCATTTTATTTGCTTGTAAGTCCCAGCTGTCTAGTTTAGCCCCACTCCACGCTGCGCATAGCGGCATGGGAGATACTCTAGGTGGTGGTGGAAGTCCGCAGTTTACATGTGACTGAGGCCCGTTAGGGTATATTTTCGGTCTAAATTATTTGGGAAATAGCCAAAAAATAAGTTTCATACAGGTCATTAAAAAGTTGTTTTTTACATATATAAGTATTCAAGGTTAGGGACAAATGCAAAAAAAACAAGAGTATTTTGTTCTGAGTTACAAAATTAAGTAAAGACAATCTACGTGATATTGTTTACATCACCCCTTGTGTGATGATTGGTCTGTTAACATATGGGGTAGCAGTAGATCTAAAAGATGGTTACTTGCTATATAAATATATATTCGTTCGTTACAAGTGATGAGGACCACTCTTTAATTCATCCATCCAAAAAAAAAAAAAAAAAAAAAAAATATATATATATATATATATATATATATATATATATATATATATATATATATATATATATATATATATATATATATATATATATATATATATATATATATATATATGTATATAACATATAAAAATATATGTCTGTGTGTATATACACACACACACATTATATATATATATATATCTAAAACATATAAAAATATGTGTGTGTGTGTATATATATATATATATATATATATATATATATATATATATATATATATATATATTGTTTTCTTCACTTCCCCACTCTTGGAGTTCCTTGCAGCATCAGGGGAGGAAGAGATCTCTGGAACGGGCTCTTCTGTTTGCTTTGTTTAAAGAACTTTCCAGTGTCTCTGATATTTCTGCATTCCATCTTCTGCGTGGTCAACTTCTGGCACTGTTACTGCTGTATCTGTAAAACATTGCTCTCTGTGGTGCCCTGTCTGATGCCAATCTTGTTACATGGCCAAACCACATGATCTGTCGATAAAGTTAAGTATTTGTTCTTTGCCAACTCTCCTCCTGATATCACCTTTCCTAAGTCGATCTTTCGTTGTTACACCTAGCACAGCGTATATTTGTAATGTTTTGGTGTTTTGTTTGGAGTTGACAAGGCAGGCTGAGGGAGGGATCATGATTTATAGGCAACATCTGGTCTTTGCCTTGGCTTTGTGCTATGGAGAGAAACAACCTCATCCATGTACTTCACTGGTATCACCATGGGTTAGGATTCTCGTGCCTCCCTATAGAGCAGTGGAACACTGTCATTTGAAAAGATGGAAAGGTGCCAACAATACATAAAACTTTTAAATATCCAGTATGTTGGTTTCCAGTAGACTAAGAGGTGAAGAAAAGATGCTGGCTTTGGATAGGACACACATTGGGAATATGTGAGAACAGTACTACTGAAATGTCTTTGTCTGGAACCTACAGGATTTAGAAATAAAGGCATACACACACACACAACTAGCACATGTACAAGGAAGAGAGTTAACAAAATAAGAGGACATAATGAGCTGCATGCAAAAGCAGAAGCTAGAACGTTTGGCATGAGTAGGTTGAGGGCATATGCTCCAGTGGTGGATAAAAGGCAGAAGGAGAAGATGAAGAAATAATAATTTATTTAATATTGTTTATAGTTTCCTTCTTTGTTCAGGAGATCCAAGATGCCCGCTTGCATCCTTCCAGAAGTATGTGACACATCTCCACCCGATGATTGAGGCATTCTGGCAGAGGCCCAAACGTAATGTCTCCCAGTCTGATTACGTCTGGTTTGAGCATACTCCTCTTGGCAATAGTACCTTGACCAAAATCATGCAGAGGATTTCTTTACAAGCTGGTGTGTATCGTTTATACTGTTATAATACTTGTCTGTACAGTTGATAAGACTTTAAAACTTGTCTGTACGGTTGATAAGACTTTAAAACTTGTTTGTATGGTTGATATGACTTGTCTTTACTGTATGACAAGACTTGTCTGTATCGTTGATATGACTTGTTTTTACTGTACGACAAGACTTGTCTGTACTGTATGACAAGACTTGTCTGTATCGTTGATATGACTTGACTTTACTGTACGACAAGTCTTGTTTGTACCGTTGATATGACTTGTCTGTACTGTATGACAAGACTTGTCTGTACCGTTGATAATACTTGTCTGTACCATTGATGCGACTTGTCTGTACCGTTGATACGACTTGTCTGTACCGTAGATAAGACTTGTCAGTACCATAGATAAGACTTGCCTGTGCTGGTAAGACTGCTTTAATTCAATTAATACTCTGCAAACTCTCTAAACTAGGCAATCAGTGTAATGTAACTATGTAATGTAACTATGTAATGTAACTATGCAGTGGATGCTATCCCACTGTGGAGTTCCCAGAAATGAGTGAACTGATAAACGAAGGTGTAAATGAAGAACAGCCTGACATAACAGTCTCTTATCAACAGAAGAAAAGAATAATAAAATCAAAACAGAAGGCCATCAAAACTGGCATAAGATGACTGCCATATAATGGATAGACCAGACCAAGTTATTATTCTACACTTTAGAACAGGACACAATCCACTTCCAGCCACATGTACACACAATTTAAGATTGCTGAATCAGCCATGTGTATATGTGGATTGGCACCAGAGACAACAGATCACATCCTCCAAGGCTATCCCAAATACAACATGTCAAGGCAAGACTTTTGGCCAAGAGAAACACCGGGGTAAGCCAAACATTAAGGGTCGCTGAGTGAATTGCAAAAGACAGTGCGGTTCATACTAGAGACAAAATTGCAGGAATAGATAATCTATTTCAAGCGACTGAAAGAAGAAGAAAAAGATACCATAAAACACTAAAAGCTACTGCAAATGGCAAAGATACTAAAATAATTATGCGCTGCAAGGACTAAAATTACTGCTGATAGAGATCCATAAACAGTTTGTGTAGCACATATATTTGAAGAAAAAAAAAACATGAACATGATTTAATAATGAATATTTTCTTCTTCAGGCCTAAGCGATAACTACACAAACTACTCCATTAGATCTGCATGTATTCCTCTGCTGGAATCAGTTTGTTATGAGGCCCTGCAAGGGGAGAAAGTTGGAACCACTCCCCAGCCTGTGTTGTCTTCATCTGTGGACATTGTCAAACCAGCAGGTGTATCATCTGTTTGTTTCTTGTGCTGCTGTCAAACACGCAGGTGTCTCATCTGTTTGTTTCTTGTGCTGCTGTCAAACACGCAGGTGTTTCATCTGTTTGTTTCTTGTGCTGCTGTCAAACACGCAGGTGTCTTATCTGTTTGTTTCTTGTGCTGCTGTCAAACCAGAAGGTGTCTCATTTGTTTGTTTCTTGTGCTGCTGTCAAACCAGCAGGTGTCTCATCTGTCTGTTTCTTGTGCTGCTGTCAAACCAGCAGGTGTCTCATCTGTTTGTTTCTTGTGCTGCTGTCAAACCAGCATGTCTTCTTTATTTGTTTTTTGTGCTGCTGTCAAACAGCATGTGTTTCCTCTATTTGTTTCTTGTGCTGCTGTTAAACCAGTTGGTGTCTCATCTGTTTGTTTCTTGTGCTGCTGTCAAACAGCATGTGTTTCCTCTATTTGTTTCTTGTGCTGCTGTCAAACAGCATGTGTTTCCTCTATTTGTTTCTTGTGCTGCTGTTAAACCAGCAGGTGTCTCACCTGTTTGTTTCTTGTGCTGCTGTCAAACAGCATGTGTTTCCTCTATTTGTTTCTTGTGCTGCTGTTAAACCAGCAGGTGTCTCACCTGTTTGTTTCTTGTGCTGCTGTCAAACCAGCAGGTGTCTCACCTGTTTGTTTCATTTGTCTCTTGTGCTGCTGCATCATGTGTGGAAAAGGAGTGGATGAATATAATCTGGTACAGAATAATTAATCTGGTTCATCTAGATAAAGATTCGACATTAAAGCATTCAGGACAAGCCCATATCAGTTCTGTCTCCCTCCTCAACAGTCAGCGAAGAGTCTCTATACTGATGGTTCCCATCTGGTTAACTAGCGCTCTTCCCCTGTCTCAACAGAATATAAGACTCAATGTAAAACAGACTTCATGCCAAATTCGTCCATTCCTTCTGCCCTTCATTTCTCAACAGAGACCAGGTTCTCAGCCTCCTAATGTTGCCGAGGTCCCTGCTAGTTAACTAGCGCTCTTCCCCTGTCTCAACAGAATATAAGACTCAATGTAAAACAGACTTCATGCCAAATTCGTCCATTCCTTCTGCCCTTCATTTCTCAACAGAGACCAGGTTCTCAGCCTCCTAATGTTGCCAAGGTCCCTGCTAGTGCATACAGCTCACCCATAGCCTACCCCCATTTCTTCACTCCTAATGCAGATTCTCTTTCCCATTTTTGGGGGCATTTTTTTTTTGGTCACTGTTAGAAAATAACTGTCTCTCACCCTTAGAAAATTAACTGTCTCTCACCCTTAGAAAATAACTGTCTCTCACCCTTAGAAAATTAACTGTCTCTCACCCTTAGAAAATAACTATCTCTCACCCTTAGAAAATAACTGTCTCTCACCCTTAGAAAATAACTGTCTCTCACGCTTAGAAAATAACTGTCTCTCACCCTTAGAAAATAACTGTCTCTCACCCTTAGAAAATAACTGTCTCTCACCCTTAGAAAATAACTGTCTCTCACCATTAGAAAATAACTGTCTCTCACCCTTAGAAAATAACTGTCTCTCACCCTTAGAAAATAACTGTCTCTCACCATTAGAAAATAACTGTCTCTCACCCTTAGAAAATAACTGACTCTCACCATTAGAAAATAACTGTCTCTCACCCTTAGAAAATAACTGTCTCTCACCATTAGAAAATAAATGTCTCTCACCCTTAGAAAATTAACTGTCTCTCACGCTTAGAAAATAACTGTCTCTCACTTGTAGTAAATAACTCTATTTCTTAATATAACTTTCTTTTACCCCTTGAAAATAATTGCATGCCACTTTTAGAAAATAACTGTCTCTCTTAGAAAATAACTGTGACTGAAAATAACTCACTTCTCTCACCCTTAGAAAATAACTGTCTCTCACTACTTAGAAATAACTATCTCTTACTCTAAGAAAATAAAGTTTGTTTATTCATTGTCTCATTCACTATTCTCTCTGTCTGTCTGTCTTTCTCTGTCTGTCTGTCTGTCTCTCTGTCTCGCTCTCTCTTTCTCTTTTCTGGGGTCTACATGGGGAAGTGGTCAAGGGTTTGCTTCATGATCTGAAGGTTGTGTGTTCATTTCACAGTTCCTGGGTGCAGCTTTCTCAGACAATCCTTGGGGACCCTTGCTTAAGCTGTCATGTCAGTGCTGTGTTAGGCTCTTGGCAGGAAGCTAGCCGATCTGTTTAGAGAGACAGAACTGTGTGGGGATAACCTTGTGCATTCAAGCCAATCCTCTCATTTGACTTTAACTTTCACATACCCCCTGTCTGTTTTCTCCTTTCTTCTGCCTGTGAGTGTCTCTGTCACTGTCTCCCTTGCACTGTCCATCTGTTATGGTGTTTAAACAAAACCCAGAAAAACAAAAAGAAAAAAATAAGTGAAGACGATGAAGTTTTCTTTAACAGTGTATCATATCCTTCAGGTACTGTGATGACACACTCAGCCTCCGAGGAATTGTCTAGTGACGATGGAATGTCACAGACATCAGAGATGCAGGGCACTCATAGTGACCCTGAGACTAGGGGCCTCATTTCATCCAGGGAGAAAACTCCTGGACTGTCCAGCTCTGTAGGGTCAGGAAGCATTGACACCGATGATGCTGATTACATGAGTAAGTTGAACAGTTGGTTGTAACCCTTGTTTGTATTGTATCCTTATCCTTGTGTGGGCACCAGGCCCCATTTTGGGATAAAAAGAAATAGATCCACAACCCTTACCCCGACAAGCCTGTTTACTAATTAGGGGTTTTTTCTTTCAAAATTGGAGTGCTGTTCCTGAGAGGTTAGGAACCAGCAGTCTGCATACAAATAAGCCAGATCTGTAAAATTGATTTGCACTCACAACTGACATTCTGGAACTAGACCAAAGTCCAGAAGAGTGGATGAACAACCAGACCTGTCTGCCGAAATGTGCAATATTTGCACCTTGAGGCTAAAACATCCAAGCTCATCAAGCATTAGTTGTCAAGGTAAACCTTCTGTAATATGGCATTTGAGGATTGTTACCAGGTGTTCATTATATTCTTGTATGGGGCATTGTATTATATGTATTATCATGTGGGCTCTGGCACCCATTGGGGTGGGGGTTGTGAGGCGGGGGAGGGAAGAGTAAAATCATTGCTTTATAGAAACAAATGATACAAAATTAAAAAAAAATATATTTATTTGTATCTATGTATATTTGTGTGTGTGTGTGTGTGTCTGTGTGTGTGTGTCTGTCTGTCTGTCTGTCTGTCTGTCTGTCTGTCTGTCTGTCTGTCTGTATATACACTGATAAAAATATTTTGAGGGCAAATACCTTGTAAATAAGTAGTTCATACTTCCTTGCTCAGTATACTTTCAGATAGGTATATTTCTGCTTCTCTATTCGCCCTCAAATTGACGGTTGGCACACTGTGTTGTCGTTTACAGCTAGGCTGCTATATCTGGGCTTTTCGGCCCAACACATCCAATTTCAGCAACAATAAAATGTGAACTTAAATGGGGCTCTAGCTTAATTTACATTGTGTTTTTATCATCATCATCATGATCAGGTGCCACCTCCACACTGAAAGACTTCTGTAATGATACTCCACTACCCCCTGTCCTGTTCTAAAATTCTTTCCAGATGTTGTGTCCAACTTTGAAAATCTAACTCAGAAACCATTTGCTGTAAACTGTTGAAATTTGGCATACACGTTTCTGATGTTGCATGTGTCAATGATATTTACCTTGTTTGACATACATGAGAGTCGCCATGGCAGAGCAGCTAGACGCTCACCGCGGATCGGAAGGTAATTGGTTCGCTCCCTGGCAGAGCCGGACTTTTCTTCAAAAATGACCTTGGCTCCCAGGTCGACCCAGCCTTGAGTGGGTACCGGGTGCAGTCTCAGGAAGTAGAGGCGGCTGGCGGGATGCTGACCACATCATCCATCTTGTGCTGTTGGTCTATAAAAATATAGGTCTAACCCTATATGCCCTATACGCCTAAAGGCGTGGAAAAGGGTCCTTTACTTTTTACTTTTACTTGGCATACATGTGTCAGTGATGTTGAGTGTGTCAATGATGTTGCGTGTGTCATTGTTGTTGAGTGTATCAGTGATGTTGCATGTGTCAGTGATGTTGCGTATGTCGGTTATGTTGCATGTGTCAGTGATGTTGAGTGTCAGTGATGTTGCGTGTGTCATTGTTGTTGAGTGTATCAGGGATGTTGAGTGTGCCAGTGATGTTGCGTGTGTCGGTGATGTTGAGTGTATCAGGGATGTTGAGTGTGCCAGTGATGTTGCGTGTGTCGGTGATGTTGAGTGTGTCAGTGATGTTGCGTGTGTCAGTGATGTTGCGTGTGCCAGTGATGTTGAGTGTGTCAGTGATGTTGAGTGTGTCAATGATGTTGCGTGTGTCATTGTTGTTGACTGTATCAGGGATGTTGCGTGTGTCAGTTATGTTGCATGTGTCGGTGATGTTGAGTGTCAGTGATGTTGTGTGTGTCAGTGAGTTGTTGTGTGTGCCTGTGATGTTGCGTGTCAGTGCTGTTGCATATGTCAGTGATGTTGCATGTGTCATTGATGTTTACCTTGTTTTAAACTGTTTTCTCTTTCTCATTTTTACTTTAGGTCTGATGCAGGCAAAAACTAAAGTGCTAGATTTGATTCGTGGACTCATGGTCAAGGACATCCAGAAGTTTGTTGATTGGTTGAAGACTGTGCGAGTTCAATACAGCGGAGGAGGTAAATTGTCTTTGAATTCTATTTGTCCTTAACCTTAGCATTAGTCAGGTGTCACTAGGGCCCGTGGGAGACAGTGAATAGTAACAATGTTTCCTATGTGGGTTCCGGCTCCCAGTTTTTAGGGGGTAAAATGAATAAATCCACTGCTTTCCTAGCTCTCTTCATTACCTGCTGAAGATAGTATTAGGCACAGAGCACATACTCCATAGCTAAAGCGATTTTTTTTTTTTTTCTCAAGGTAAAGGCCAGAGATAATCTTAGTAGACAGTTACATGTGCCATTGGAATTAAAACTCTTTGCTTGCTGCTGAAAATGGGTATGGAGTGCTTGTGGGAGTGTCCCAAGTGCAATGATGTTGATGATCTTGATTCAGCATTCCTGTTAACTAGCATGTTGTAAATAACAAGCAATTAGTGGTTTGCTGAAAATGAATGTTTTGAGCCAAAAGGTGCAGATATCACAGCCTAGCTGTAAACCGCAGCACGGCATGCCAACTGCCCTTTTAGGGGGTGAAATCAAAAGAAGTAGTGATGTAAGCTACCAAGCATGTCATAAGAGACTACTAAAGACGGATGGTGTGGGACTGGTCTCATTATTTATGAAATATTTGGGCTGCAGAACTCATTGGGAGATGACATGTGGAAGCAGCAGCAGGGGCTCTGAATATTTCAAAGTCAAAGCCATTCCCACAAACTGAGCCCTCACTTAAACCTCCATGTCCAGTCCACGATATATTCATCACTGGAGCTATGCTATTGACCGGCGGTAGATCTTCTGAGGAGAAAGAGCGAGCCATTAGGGGAAAAAACCCGGTGCTATGAAGTTGATTATCTCGACTTCAAACTTTAACCTTGTTTCCACGGCTAGCAGTTTGCAGAAAGACTGTTCTCAGGACCCACAGACAGTAGTAGAAGAGTCTCACTATTTAAGAGATTAAGGATCTCGTTATCATCATCATCATCATTTGCCTTGCCGACTTGCGTGGGCGATCATGCCTATCCACAATCTGCAGCTGCGTGTATCAGCACATGTGTAGGCACCCCACCTTGCAGTGACAGAAGGTTCTCAAAAATCTTCTTGCGTTGTCTTCCTCTTTCAAATGTATGATGTTGTTTTATGTTGAATATAACAGGCCTAACCAGTGTCTTCACATATCCACAGAGCTGATTGTCTTGTGTAGCCCTGTTGACAGAAGCAGTGTGGAACCAATCCCTGATGACTTTCCACTAGACAGGAACATTCTGCATTCTCATGGGGACAAAAATGGTTTGAATGCCCCTGGAAACAATCGTGATCACTTGTTTAAGAAGTCAGCCAGCTTGGAACAGACAGAGAAACAAGTTCTTCTCAAGAAAAACTTTTCTTTGAAGGAAGACAGTTATGGAGATGGGAATGACGTGGTTGAACTGGCGGATAGGACGACAGTTAGGCAAGTAGAGTTCAGCTCCATGGCGGGGTTTCATTGCTCCTCAGAAGAGTTTGGCCCAATGAAAGTTAGCATCCCCACACATGATACACTTCTGGTCACCGGAGTACCCGGACATCTTCAAGTGATGCTGCACAAAAAGAAGGGACCAGCCGGCCAGCAGGAGCCATTGCCAGAAAGGGTCTTCTATTCTGAGAATGACTTTGATGTTGCTGAAATCATGGCCATTATGAGTGCTGGCAGCCATAGGGATAAGCAGCATAACATCAGTAACAGCAGCATCATCATTAATGGTGGCCCCAACAACTACCACACCAGTGTAGAATCCCAGAATAAACATCATCTGACTGTCCAGCAACATCATGCTGGCCCTGTGATGGTGACAATCCCGGCGGCCCATACCTCATCTTTCGCTGCCAAAGAACATTTCAGATACCACAAAAACAAATCATTGGGCTGTCTGGATCAGCCCCCTCCTCTCCCAGAAGGCATCACTTTGAAGAGAGTCTACAGTACAGGGACCCCAGTGCTAAAACGGCAGGCAAACGTCATGGACACAAGCATGTACCCAGAGAACCTCACTGTCAGACGGGACCACGAGGAGCTCCAGGCCACCAACCTGTCCATGAAACCACTCAAACAAGTAGAATCTTCAGAGGCTAAACGTGCCCGAGCTGAGCGACTCACAGATTCGCTGCGAGTCCACCAGGAAATCCTCCAAAATTCCCCCCTGATTAAGCGACCTGGCGAGAGGAATTTCTCAGGTTTCCGTCACTGTTATGCCAACACCGTGTCTAGTACAGTGAAGTCAGAGCCCCTGGACACCTCGTACAGTTGACGCTCACAGGCACACACTCCCAGGTGATTCACTTTTCCAAAGCTGCACCCTAGCAGCTTTTGGTTTCAGGTTTACAACCGTAATTCAGCACTGTCTGGCGTTTTTGTCTGCAACTTTGTATCAGTCTGCAGCATTGTATTCTTTCCGCCAAGCTTGTGAATTAACGACTGAACTGACATTTGGAATGTGCTGCAGCCACAGCTAGACGGTTTGACAGATTAACTTCACAAAGAAAAGGTATTGGACTGAGTATTTTTTATATTTCACAGCCTGGTATTTTTTAAATGGGAAATACTAAGTTTTTTAAAATTGATATTTCTCACTAACCATGTGAAGAAATACTTCAAGCAGATTCTGTTTTGTGATATCATACGCTGTGGTCTTTTTTTGTACAAAATCACCTATATTGTCCCAGTATGTATAAACTGTATTTGTATAGCACAAAGTATATTGATATTTTCTTTACATTAAATTTCAGCATTGGCTTTTGTGTGTTGTTTCTGAGAATTTTATGAAACCAGGCTGCATTTAACATTTGTATATTTTTATATCTGCTCGGTTTAAATAATTGCACTTGGAGAATAATTTTGACCAGTTGCTTCCAAGCGATGGGTGGATGGAATATCCAAGGCCGTAAATACTAGCACATACCAAGCCTCTTCAAAACCTGACGCTGAAAGTCTACAGGACTAGAGAAGGAGGAGATAAAGAAGAAGCTTAATCATTTTTTTTCAGAGAGGGAATCTCCTTTGGAAAGTGGTCACTCTGTTTGCTTGACTTCTTCTGAATCTGTTCTTGGCTTTTTTGTGTTGTGGTTTATATAGTCAGACTGTGCTTTTTGGCCCAGGATATACATGCAGAACTCAAGCCCTGGCACAAAGTCAAAGTCCAAATGGACAAACAACCAGCACTTTTGGCTGGAGCTTACAGTCGATGAACAAAGAAGAAGAAGGCCCAGGATATCTGACTTCATTAAACTTCTCATTAGTCATCTTTTTTCAGCATGCTTGTTCAGGTAATGGGGGGGGGGGGTCGCATTCTCCAGAAATCGTGGTTCAGCTCATCTGTCACATTTGTTGGAGATTGCTAAAGTTCATTGCTGGGGGCTTCAACATTGATGTAATGTTGGGGAAGGGGGGGGGGGGACTTTTAACAGGCAGCTGGATGCTCTGCAGAGAGGGACAGGGCCGGGTGGAATCAGATGGGCAAAGAATGTGAGTCTACCACTGGCATGAAAAGGCTGCTTTTTCTTTTTAACTGAATCAATTACCATATTTTTTTCATTTATCGATAATATGTGAACCCAGATTTATAAGTTTATAATTGGGGATCCTTTTATAAATGGAATGTCCCCATGTCAATTCTGGGGCCTTATTTTTAGGGGAACAAGAATAAACCTTTCTTCCCATTTTCCCCCGTAAAATGCATGTCATAAAAAGTAGACGAATTAGAAGTGCTTTGCAATTGCTAATCACTTTAGGTCGTGAGTGCAGAGACTGGCCAGCTGGCGCTGCAGAGTCAAAAGCTCAACAAATGATTCATGACAATTCCCGCCCAAGTCAGGTGATTATCTATACTGATGGCTGTGTGTTGAGGGGCAGATGAAGTGCATAGGGGTTTATAGCACAAGCGAATGGGCGTCGCTTAGTGCAACAAAGCCTGGCATATGATGTCACAAAGTCTAGTTTGAGAATGAGGTAGAGGCAGTCATGCTGCCGTCCGCTGGCTTGAAAATCAGCTGTACACAAATGCCGTGATTGTAACTGACTCACAGAGCATGTTGAAAAAGATGGAGGCAGGCATGCTCATCACTTCAGAGATCGGTGTAGTAAGCATCCTTTGGGTAGCTACTCCAGGTTGTGAGGGCTTTTTTGGAGCGAGTGAACAGTGCAGAAGCATAAATAAATCATTACTGTCTGAGGAGAATGGCGCTGCGAGGAGTTACCAGGAAATGTGGCAGACCCTCAACACTCAGGGGAAAAACGAGACGGATATACAATCCGACAGTTAGTGGTGCCATCAGAATTTGAACTCTTAGCGTGCTACTGAAGATGGGGACTGAGCGCTTATGGGAGTGTCCCGAGTGCTGGGATGTTGATTCTTAATTCAACATTCCTTCGCAACTGGAGTACATCTGTCTGTATGAGAGGTTTGGAACCAGCAGTCAGCTTACAGATAAGCCAGCCCTGTAAAAGTTCTGCAGCAAGACTAAAGTCTAGATGTGGATGAACAACCTGAACTTTCCACCAGAGTTTACAGCTGCTGATCACGAAGAAGAAAGAGATTTGCAGAGTATGTTTATAATATTTATTTCTTAATTTTGGGCTACAAAATAGGGGTCTTCTTATGCATGGGGGAGGGGGGGCACCAACAACGGCAAAATATGGTATTTATAGCTTATTTTCCTGCGAAGTTATATAATTGTTGAAGATTATTATATTTTGTAATGTTATGATGATTATTTTTGTGACTGATACTGTAAGCACAAAATTTATTGTATTGTTACTAAATTATGTTCAAAAATTATATATATTTTTTTAGTTGTATTTGGTAAACATGTAGGTATGTGTAGTCATTCTTTTTCTGCATTTAGTCTTAAAATCAGTTGGCATATTGTGTTGTGGTTTACAGCTAGGTAGCAGTATCTGCGCCTCTGTACCCAAAGCATCCAATTTCATCAAACCCCTTTCGCTTCGGGTTTCAAGTGAAACTACTGGTTCACTTCCTCTTTTTATGTTACCGCCTTAGGTGATGGGGGAGATAACCCCTTAATTATTTGTTACTTCCTTCATATTACCACCTCAGGTGTTGGTGGAGATAATCCCTAATTATTTGTTACTTCCTTCATATTACCACCTCAGGTGTTGGTGGAGATAATCTCTAATTATTTGTTACTTCCTTCTTATTACCACCTCAGGTGTTGGTGGAGATAATCCCTAATTATTTGTTACTTCCTTCATATTACCACCTCAGGTGTTGGTGGAGATAATCCCTAATTATTTGTTACTTCCTTCATATTACCACCTCAGGTGTTGGTGGAGATAATCCCTAATTATTTGTTACTTCCTTCATATTACCACCTCAGGTGTTGGTGGAGATAATCCCTAATTATTTGTTACTTCCTTCATATTACCACCTCAGGTGTTGGTGGAGATAATCTCTAATTATTTGTTACTTCCTTCTTATTACCACCTCAGGTGTTGGTGGAGATAATCCCTAATTATTTGTTACTTCCTTCATATTACCACCTCAGGTGTTGGTGGAGATAATCCCTAATTATTTGTTACTTCCTTCATATTACCACCTCAGGTGTTGGTGGAGATAATCCCTAATTATTTGTTACTTCCTTCATATTACCACCTCAGGTGTTGGTGGAGATAATCCCTAATTATTTGTTACTTCCTTCATATTACCACCTCAGGTGTTGGTGGAGATAATCCCTAATTATTTGTAACTTCCTTTTTTTTTTTTTTAATAGTACTTCTTCGGGTGTTGAGGGAAATAACACCTTAATTCTTTTGCGGGTGTTGAAATAAATAAATTCAAAATGTTTCTTTACTTCTTGTTTTTATATTACTTATTTGGTTGTTAAGATAGATAGCCCCTAATTAGTGACCTGTTTTTGACTGGGTCTTTTCTTTTTTTTTTCCCCCCAAAATGTGCTGGAACCTATTTGAGGTATATGATTATTTATGGTTCAAAACACGGTTGGTTCCACCTCTCTCTGTCCCTGGGAGATCAGGCCCTAATCTCAGGCATTTAGTGCTTTATCTCCAGTTCTTTTTTTTTGGGGTTCAATTCTGCATAAATCACCTGCCTCCGTCCATCTCTGTTATTGGCCTTCTCTTTCCAGCTGGTGACTCCGTGTGGGTAAGTCTGTCTGTCTGTTGTCTCCACAAAAGTCTTGGACTGCCTCATGGTTTGCTCCTTTTAAACACTTGTGCTCTCAATTTTTGTCTGCCTTTTATGTCATCTGCTATCTCCATCAACCCCCCAAACCATTGCCGTCTGTTAGCCCTCATGATGCCATTAACTCGAGACACACACTATACAGGGTGTCCCTACTGTCTTCATGATCTGGTTAACTATAATTTCCCTAACTGAATTGGAAGATAAGGTCATGTGGAGTGTTCTCCTCATTTAGCTCACCTTTGCCCCCTTGACTTCATTTTCTGGGGGATGCTGAAGGAGATGGCGTGCTCAGAGGGGATCACACGTGTAAATGCAGACAGAGTGAATGTGCTCAAATTGACGGCAATGTGGATTTATTACATCAAGTTCGCTGAAATTTTGCAAAGCGCATCAACCTTTGCATCGCAAATGATGGAAATCATAATGAGGACTGTTCAGTATTCCTGCCTAATGCAGTGTTGTTAATAAATTTCATTTCTTAGACAGATTTATTTCTGCCTGGGTGTAGTAAGACTGTGGGAGCACCTAGTATCTCCTGTTTTTTTTTAATATCATTTTTTTTTTTTAAATTCCCTTCTTATTGATCTGATACATTGCTCAGTACATTGCAAATTGAAATTGTGACACCCGGTGTCTGTCTTGATCCTGACTTATCCAATAAGTTTAAAATTGTAACCAAAACCATTGAGTCCAGCGTAATTGTCAGGCTGGATAAAGTATGGTCTCCGATATCTAATTGTTTATATATGTTTGGTGATCATATTATAGTTATCCGTGCTTATATATATTTTAATATATACTGTATCCTGTATCTAATATCTTTGATTTGTATGCACAATAAAGGCAATGGTTTAGCATTTGATTGTTCTTGGAGTTCTACGGTGGGCACTTCGTCTGATTTTTTTTCAGAGCCTAGTCTAGGTGTGCCCACAGATGGGCATACTTGTGTATATGAGGTCTACAAGAAGTTAACAAAAAACATTACAAGAAGTAAACATAAGGTCTACAAGAAGTTAACATTAGGTCTACAAGAAGTAAACATAAGGTATTCGTGAAGTTAACATTAGGTCCGCAAGAAGTAAACATTA